AATCCAGCTGCGATGGACCCAGTCCTGGCAGGGATGATGCTCCCCAGAGCCGGGGGGTTTGAGGGGCTCAGAGCTGGTGCTGGGTCTGTCCCCAGCAGGGATGCAGTGGAATAAACACGTCTTGTACCCCGAGGAGGTGGTGGCCATCCGTCACCTGCTGCGGGTCGAAGAGGGTTGGGGGAGCAGACGGGCACTCGGGGATTCTGCAAATTTAATTTTCTTATTATAAAAGTGCTTTTATTAAGCAGATGGGAAGGTTTTCAGCGCAGTTCCCAAAGCAAATACTGCCCTAACTGGTGTCTTAGGGCAGCCCTGCTGGGCATGGCGAGCGGGGGGGCTGCTGGCCCCCCACACACCCCCTGTCCCCCCCTCGGCTGGCCACAGGTGCCCTGGGAGCAAACGGGTGCCCGGGCAGGCGAAGGCGGGGGATCCTTGCTGCATCCCCTCCCTGCCAGCCCCGAGGCTCGCCCAGCATCCTCCCTCCTCCCCGCTTTCTGCCTCCTCCGGGGGTTTCTTTCCCATTTCCCCAGCAGATGAGCAGAGCACCTCGTTCTCCCTCTGGCAGCAGCTTGTTTCTGCTTTTCCCCTTCCAGCCATGGCAGCCGCACATTGTTCAGGCGGGAAAAAAAACCAAAACAAAACAAAAACCAAACCAAAACCCACAAAACGCAATGTAGTAAAAAAACCGCAATGTAGTCATTAACTCCACGGCCACACGGATGCTGCTGCCGCCAGGGAAACCGCAGACACGGCACAGGGACGGGACTTTGACCTTCTGCTCATCCCTGCGTGTTATCGGAGGAGCCGCCTCTCCCGGGGCTGGGAGGAGCCGCCTCTCCCGGGGCCGTGCAGGGTGAAACACTGCGGGACGCTGGGGGGATGCTGCCGTGGGCTGACGTCTTTCCTCCCTTCTCCGCGCAGGATGGAGACGGGGAGAAGAAGGACCCGTTTGAGGAGAGCGGGCTGAGCCTGAGCCCCACGGCGGCCGAGGCCAAGGAGAAGGTGCGGGCCAAGCGGGTGAAGAAGAGAGCTCCGCAGATGGACTGGAACAAGA